AATAATAAGTACTTCCTTGGTCTTGAGAAAAGTAACAAAACAAAAATAAATTTAAAAATCTGATGGATCGTACACTACTTCGACAGCTAAAACACTTAGAGAACAAGTACATTTTTAATCGCACATGTACGCCAATGGTAACATTATAAATGAAGAATGTATTGAATAGCTAATAACATAAGCACAGTGCCATTATCACCAATTGATATAGAATAGTTAGAAGGGGAATTTACGTGCAATAATATGACACTGCAGTTAAGTCAATGCAACTTAACGAATCTCCAGGTAATGATCGCATTACTGTAGAATTTCATAGTCATTTCTGGGAAGAAATGGGACCTATTAGATTCACTAATTTATGGTTTCACACAGAACTAATTTTCTATGACACAAAGAAGAAGTATAATAAATCTGGTTTATAAACAAGGTGAACCGGAAAATATCAATAATTGGAGAAAAAGTCTCTACTTAATATTGACTATAAAATTGCAGCAAATTCTCTATAAAAACGGCTACAAATTGTTATAAAATCTAAAATAAACACAATACGCCAGACTTTACCACTAAGATTATTAATGAATATCGTACTTACAGGATCTCCACTGAAGGATTGAAACTTATATTTGAATTCAAGTTGATTGCATAGCAATCAATGGTAAAGCCTTCACATCGGCATCCAGCTGGACAATCTGAGAAAACAAAAAGAAATCTTAGCTCGTTAATGCTTATGAATTATAAAACATTATGAAACTACGAGACTGTTGTACATGGGTAGAGAAATTGTCAATATGATTACGACGGCAGTGGGTGTTTATACAACGAAAGACCGAAGACCCAAAAACCAAGACTCATATTGTTTTCTCTTTTATTTTATTAATAATATACACCATTCTATCACAAAATTTAAATTACGAGATTATTTGGACGTCTGTTTGAGAAACTTCATGTTTTCATTTTATAGACACCCTTAAACCAAGACCGATGACCTGCAAATCGAACATCTCCAATTACTCCTCAGTTATCTTATTGAAAGTATTTCAAAATCGTCATCTATTGAAACCAATGTCATTAATTCATCGGAATAAGATGAGGAATATTAAGAAATAATTAAGGGTCTTCGTTTTATATACAACCCTTCGTTATTTCTTGATATTACCCATTAAATTCCGAGTAATCTTTTGTAGGCACCCATATAGGGCTCTATAAAATGGAAAACAGGAACTTCAAACGAGGAAGGTGAGGCTTCTTAAGGTGACGTCATACCCCTGGCATCATTATCACAGTTTCACACAGAGTGACATCAAACACATGAAACGTGATTCCTTACACCTTAGGGCACCTTACACGTACCTGTGGTGTTTACGATCGTCTAATGTGGTGCCTGTGATTTGGAAGAAATTGGTCTGATATAGCTTTAGATTGTCGAAAAAGATATGGCATTATATTTACATTATGAAACGACTAGCTAGAGGTCGAGAGTGCCAGACCTGATCTAGCCCGAATAGTGATATACAGTACTAGTGCCTAGTGTACAAACATGAACTAAGCAGAAGCGGTCGGTCTTACCATGGTCTTACCTTGTATGCACTGTTTATGGGAATCCTACCTGGACAAAGGAGTTTTAATTATTTGATTTGCCTGGAATGGTCTAACTACGCAAAGCAATGATTATGAATCATTCTGTTATATTATAATCACGGATATGCCCTAATTATATTAATGGCCTATGAAGAGTCATCTCTGATTTTTACACATTTTTATGAAAATTTAGTAGAGATGGTTGAAGTGGAACGTCAGTTTTTGAATGTGAGAAATATCACCATGAGTACAGTAAAAGGATAATACAAATGTGAATGTATTTTTAGACTACTTTTGTTGTTTCTTCTTAAAAAAAATAGTGTCTACTTTTATTGTGGTTGATTTGACCTTTTGGCATCCTCAAAAATTGTCCCCGTCCACTTAAAGAGTGTCCCTTATTATGGGGTTGGCTGTAGTGTTATATACAATATGTTTCCCCTCGTTTCATCTAAAGTGTTCCCTTAATATTGGTGTCCAAAAGGAGGAGTTCTACTGTATCTTCTTGAGTGCTCGTTAGAAGATCAATACTTAGATGACATCAGTGACATCAATTTTTGATATCTATTTCTTCGCCATATACGTTATGCCGGGGCGTATGCAGCATTTGGCGGTAAAGGTGTGCGTGAGAGTCCACACTGATGT